AAAAGATAAAAGTGAGATAACAGACATCAATTTTTCACTATAAATCTCTGGGTTTACTACAACATTAAAATTTCCAGTAAAAGCAGGGTTTTATATACCTGAACTCTAATGGCCTATTCTGAAAATATTTATGTCAGGAAAAGCATGGTATTTGCATGCCAAAAGCAATTTTAGTGCCAATATTTAGCATTCCCTTCCCATTTAACTCCTTCCCATCTACTCAAGAGTGTCAGATGCTCTGCCTAATGCCTACCCCGTGTATCTCCCCACGCAGCCTTTCAGAGGAGGACGCTCCAGGTGCATACTAAGCAAAAAAGTCAAACACTTCTAATAAAATACCACTGCACAAAATGATGGCTTAGGATGGAGTCTGTAGCATGGTCTGAACCAGTGATTTTTACCTCCATGATAAGCATACGAAACTACTCATTTCCAAGGGGCTAACTGCCTAACCAAAGTGAAAGACAGGGGGGACAGAAGGACAGGAAATTGGGCAACACAATGCAACAGCTCAGAAGTAACGGGACAAAACTCTCTGTAATTAGATGAGGTTTCTAGAGGTATAGTAGTACTCCATTAGTTTTATTCTAAAATTAAAATAAGAGCGTGATTCTGTGAGAACCAAGTGTCTTGCCTTCAACATAGAGGCACTTCTATTTGGTGAGAAGGGCATTCAGCGCCTACCTGGCCATACACAGCAATCAGCTGGATTGATGCTGCAGAAAAGTACTGATTTTACCTATTTATTCTACTATAAAGTAAACCCATTTAGGTATAATAATGCAGGCTAGTGGCCTTATACTGTAGTGCATGAGACTCTCAGAGGTAGGGAAATTTATATTACTTCAGTTTTTGTAAACTGTAATTTCTTAAATTTAAGAAAGCTTAGGAATGCAACCTGATTTTCAGCAAAGTTTTGCTTTCTTCCCTGCTTCATACCAGCACGTGCAGCCCATAGCTTTTCGGGATAAACTATTAACATAAATGTAACTTCTCAAAACACAGCAAACATACAAAAAGACTGCAAGTCTCTACTTGCCTTATCTCTCGGGGCTCTGAGGTTTGGGGGGGGGTGTGTGTGTGTGTTTGTTTGTTTGTTTGTCTGTTTTTATGGAATAAAATTAGATTTCAGCATCTGTCACCATCAAGAAAAAAACCTCATCCCTGGCTCCCACATGAAAACATTGTAACCAATGCACAGTTACTGAACCATGATGCCTTAATGATCATTACACAAATCAATTTTTTTTTGTTTGAAATAACAAAATTAAGAATGTGCTTTCATAATTTCTTGAATCAGACTGTCAGGTTATAAATTTAATAAAACCCCAATATGATTAAATTGTAAAAGTAACGTGTACCACACAAATTTATATATGTGTGGATTCTTTTCATTTTGCCTTAATCAGGTGTGCTGATTAAATTTTAGTAAACAATTTTGTTAGTATTGCCGTTCTACCACTTAAAAAACAACCTGGGAGCAGACACAAAGCACTTGGTAAACCTTTCTGTCTTCCTTTTGCATGCATTTTTCTAAAGCTCTCTTTTCAACATAATCTAGGGAAAAAAAAAAAAAAAAGCAGGCCTATTAGGCAGACAACTTGCAATAAAAACTTAAGATTTTAAATACTGACATTAGGTGTTTTGCCAATTACAGTTCTAAAACTCCCCAAAGATGTGATGTATTCAAGCAATTTGAATTATAATAGCTTTCTTAGCTCCTCAGCATAACCATAGTAACTTTTAAAGCATATATTTTGAATTTAACAGAATCTGAATTTATTCTGCAGATAATATATCAATCCTTAAAAATACGGAAACTTAAAAAATATACAGAATGAATACATTCCTATGCAGGAAGAGTTCAATGTTTGAAGGAATCTTCTAGCTAAGTCCCAAACTTGTTCAAACCCATGTGCCAGATAGTCCCTTTCCTTTGCAAAAGCCAACAAGCCACCAGCACAGTACACCGTGAAACTACAAGTACGCAAATCATCACTCACCTAAGGCAGAGCACAATCTCACTGATATCACTTCCTTGATCTCTTCCTGCTCCTGTCACCCCTTCCTTGCCCTGCGCTATTACCTCTGCCCCACCAAGCCCCTGTAGCCACCTGGTGAGTTGAGCATCAGGCCCATACGCAGCCCTCCTTCAATCAGGTAACTCTTGCCAATGGCACTAACACAGCACAAGGGAAGATGCTTGGTTTTTAACTCTGCGCTACCTAAATAGAAACTTCTGTAGCGCGTCATTTAATAGCTCTTCTGTACAAAGTGCTCTAGTCAGCAGAACATTATCTGCAGTCTCCTTGCTCAGGCAAGCCCAGACACCTTGCAGATGCTGGCTGCTTAGACACCCAATCTAATGTTGGCCCAAACAGATCCCTTAAAAAACAAATAAAAAATAAAAAGGCCCTCCAGCAAACAACTATCTCTGTCCACTGGCAGAGCTGTTTCAGGTCACACACTGTTTTATACCATAAGCCCAGACTACACTCAGGAGTTAATCAAGTTTTTACATCTAAAATAAGGTAAGAGCAGCAATGTTCAATTCTAGTGATTTTGAAAACAAAACTGTTAATCAGCGCATCATTTTCTAATATGTGTCCTCCAGACTTTTCACTATAGCTGAAAGTGATTATCCCAGGATTTCCAGCTCTGAGCAGGAAACCAATATCCCCAAATTAAAAACAAAACAAAACAAAACAAAAAACAATGAACCTCTCTCAAGAGAGTTTCACTTAAAGAACATGTTTGATCAAGCCTCTTTTTGTACAAGGGAGACTTCTTTGCCCCGAGAAATATTTCTCTATACCGTTGACAAGCAGAATTTTGTACAATACAGATATCTCCTTTAATATACATGGCCTTGCTACATATCTAAATCTTATTGATTGGCTGACTAGTAGTCAAGTGGTTAGAGAAGACCCAATACATCCAGTTTACCTAAGAAGTTACTTGTGTGAAGCAGCTTTCTAACACAAATGGCACTTTGGCTGACTACAGACCTGAAAGTTTGCTTAACATGGAAATTACCATTCCATTGCTCAAACTGGGGAGAACCATAATCTCTGAGAATACAGGCATAATCTCCACTAAAAAAAGGGAAAAGAACTATGTGGGTTTTGTTTTCTGTTGTTTTAGAAGCAAAAGTTTGTATAAGAATCTAAATTTTATACTAATATTCTAAAAAACCTGCACCGCATCCTCTAGAAACTTGTGCTTCACTTTGATTACCTGGCTCTTTTAAAATCAGCATTGGAAGAGCTGCCCCGCCTAGAAATTTGGAGACTACGCACTTAAATAAATATACTATCACATAAATTAGATCAGATCTAAATTATGTGGACTGATAGATTGGCTTCATACCTCAGTTTTGCACAGAACTGTAATGGAAAGGGGAAGGTGTAGAAAACGGACAGTTCTCTCACCCCAAGTCTTGACATGTAAATAAAGACATCTGAGGAGCACACAGGTTGGAAACTGCTGTAACATTCTATCATAATTAGAAACATTTCAAGAGCCCTGTAATTTCCAATCAAAATTACAGTAATTTCCGATATACAAGCCATGATTCATGACAGAATTTTTACATTCCATGGGAGATTATAGTGGCCTGATGTATGACACACTGAGTACAGCACTAACATAAACAATTCAGTTTAATGTTTAAACAGCACTTGGTGTTTAGAATCCCACAATAAAAGAAACATATTATTGTAGAAATTATCACTTTGACAGTGATTGAAGGGTAGGCAGGCATGTGGCCTATAAAGCTATAATTTTTACAGTCCACAGCTTGAGTTTAATCATTTTGATATAACATTTTCAAAATATCGCTTTAAATGCTCCTTACAGCATATAACTTAAGAGACAACATCCTTTCTATACAATGAAATGGAGTAAACTCCAAAACATGAACAATGCAGAAGTCAAAAGTTAAAGACTGTTAAAAAGAAAACCAGCACTAAAATGCTGACAGCCCAAGAAACATCGGTCTAACTGATCATTATCAGCTTTCCCTGGAAGATGCTGCATTTTTCTAGGAAGCAATTTTAGAAAAGTAAAGGAATAGTGACTAAGTAGACTTAACAGTTAATCTAACATGAAAATTCAACACTGGAAGCATTGGTGCCTTTACCATTTCTTTCAAGCACTGGTATAATGTAGTTGTAGTCTTTCCGATTTCTCTATGTATTTTTCCTTTACTTACTTCTTGAGTACATTCTCACTTAAATCAATGCTTTTTGCATACTCCAGTCATCTTTCTCAGAAGACATGTCACTTTTGATAATCACACCCAACAAGCGCTTGCCGATTTCCCTCTTTTGCCACTAAACTTGACAGAAGTTCTTCAGTAGAAGAAAATAGGAAAGGAAACTACAAAACAAAGGCTTAAAACTCAACATGCAATATGTAAGTATGCACACAGATAGGTAACCAAGCAGTCATTGTATTCCACAAAGACCATACATGTTTTCTCAGATGTAACTTGTATAACTGCAATTTGCTGGTTGGGTTTGTTACTGCTGGTTTTGACATGGAGAGTGCTGCTCCATTTCCCTTGCACAGACTCACCAGTGGGTCTGACCAAATATTTCAGCAAAAAACAGAACCTCATCATTCCTCATTACAGCACATGTCATTGCAAAATACTAAAGCCTCGAGATTAATTCAGCAGCAACACACAGAGCTCGCCCACAGCTTTTGCCAGCTAAGAACTGATGAACCTGGTGCCTTCTGAGCCATGCAAGACCCATGGGTGTGCAGCGAAGGCATTTCACTGGCAGGGAAGAGGGAGGGATGCATCTCGGGAAGCCGCTTCTGGTCAGGGGTAACCAGAGGTTACCTTAGGACTCAGCAAGGAGCTCCACGTTGCGGTACTGGGCTGGCGTGCTAACCCAGCCGCTTGCTGTAACTCACACAGAAACAGATCAAAACCGGGGCAGGAGGAAATAATCACACAGGACGGGGAGGCTGTTGCACCCTGGGAGCTTTACCTGGCTTTTGGTTGCCGCAACCTTTGCAAACAGTGCTTGTGACACCTTAGCTCTCTTCATTTCCTGCTGAATCTCATCGTAAATGGAAGCATTAATGTTCATGGAATTATTTTCTGTTTTTCCATTCCTCTCTGTAGCAATAGTAGCAGTTTTGACCTAGAAAATATATTTTATGAGACATTTTTCATTATGAAAAAGTTATTTTCTTCTCTTTCCCTCCCCAAGTAGTTCCCCTTTCCATTTTATTCCTTTTATTCAATCTTGTTCTGATATTCTTTCAGCTTTTCAGAGACTTAACATTATAAGTTATCTGTGGTTCAGGCAACTGGGAAACAAGAAAATTCAGCATATTGTAACAAGTGAGAGCATGTGAAATATGAGTTATTATTAACTGACCACTGTGAATTTTAATGTCATAAAACAAATTAGGTGGAAACCTATCAAACAGTCTTGTAGAGACTTGTGAATCCTTACATGATTTCTTTGCTCCACACAAATTAAGTGAAAATTTTAAGTGCAGCATAAAAAAAAATCTCTAATGAAATAAAAACCTGACAGATATATCTTGATTCATGCCTTATGTGCAGTGCACTCAAATGCATGATAATGTAGAAAAGTTGTGGCTTTAGATTTAAGTTTTCAAAATATTATCTTATCAGTTTAATTCTTAATCTGTTTTTAAGAAAGTGATAGTTTAGAATAATGTATATTTTAAACACTCATTCATGAAATCAAGATAGGCCTTTTAAAAACTATTAATTCTAATTTTATTTCACTTACATACATCAAATATTTATTCTTCTTGCAGTCCAGGTTAAAAAAGAATAACATGAAAACAAGACAGAATGATTACACTACCACCGCTATGCTACATCTGCAGCATTAAGGAAAACAACAAAAAATACATCAGTAGTGACATGATGTGCAGAATACTATTCTTTCCTTCATCCTCTGGAAATGACAGAAGTGATGTTTCAACACCAAGAATCATCCCACCAAGGTTACAGTGCAGTTTCTGCAATATCAGTTGAGAGGCACAAAAAAATCAGCAGGTACTTAGCTTCTCCTACAATATTCTCAATAGTTAATGTCTTTCTTCAGCAGCTACTCTTGCAATGCTTGCCCAAGGTTAGTGGACCTAACGGACCACTTAACACTAAAGTGGACCACAGGAAAGGAAAGACTGGATTTCTGCCAAGAACCCAGAAGGTGACGATGCAAAATCAAACCTTTAGATTTCGGTTCAGACCTACTGGTTCGTACTAAGGTTGTTGACAGCTGAGTTAATTTAGCCATTCAGAAGTTACACATCTAGTCTAAATTAGTCATTCAGGCTATCTCTAAATCTAATGGACAGAGCTTGGCACTTTCAGAGGGTGATTCAGCCTACTCCTGAGTACGGGTCTAAACCCACACTTTCACTATCAGTTTAATACAGTGCAAGTCAGCATCTTCCTGTGCTCTAATGTCCCTTGAGGTTCAAAGGGAAATCCTGACAACATGATAATTTATCTTCTAATCTTGCTCTCTATGAGCTTTCATATGTCACAGGTCTCATGATACGAGAGTCAAAGGGTTTGGGCGAGAGATGTACTTAAGCAAATCATCAGCCCATTTTTTCCTAGAAATGTCATGCTCAATTTGTGTCAACTATCCTCCATAGTGGTTTTAAAATAAAATAATCTAGACCAGAAACTGGGAGTGCATAACACTTTTGCTGAGCCTTATTTGTCTTTTAGGTGTTTCAGGAGCTGTGCTAACACATGCCCATTAGCTGCAAGGGGCAAAACCCCAGCAAGAACAAGGCATCCACACACAATTCCACCTGCCTCCTTCTGGCAGGTATTAGCATTTTCTGGTGTCTGAAAACAGGTATCCTAAATAAAAAGGGAAAAGAAGAAAGTGGCATAAGGTTTATCCCATGATTTGCTTTCATCTGAAAGCAATCGGCAGCTTGAGGCATTTCCTTTTCTGCAGTCTGACATTTTACAGGTGACACTGCAGTAGAGGATGGCCAAGCCTGGGCCAATGGCTGCTCAGAAACATTTGAACTTCCTCGCAGTGGGCAGCATAAGGAGCAGCACCACAAACCTCCCTTCTACCCACCACAGAGCAGGAAAATGCATGCCTCACACTGGGCAAATCAGCATGGGGCTGCAAGAGCAGGTGCATCTCCTGAACACCATACAGTGGAATTGTTTGAAAATTACAAAATCAGTGGCAATTTTATAACCTTTAAATGAAAAGGACTCGCTCAAAGATAACTGACAACCAATGGGGATGTTAAACATACCACTGGAGACAGCCTTCTCTGCTGCATGTAAAAATCAGGCTAAGCTAAATTATAAAATGAAAAAGAGATGGCTTTGTCATCACACCTTCTTGGACTTCTGGTTTAAAATTTGGAAAAGTTATTTTAGTCCTTCCCAAAGAAATATTTCTAACTTGTAACTAATCTTTGAGGGTCCTGATGGGAAGATGAGGAAACGCAGGTATTCAGCTAGCATACACAAGTCCATGGTACCTTTTGGGAAGGAAACACTGCTCTTGTGGTCCTGATTGAAATATGTCTCTCTTCTGTAAGCACACTGCCTTTCTGATTGCTACTCAGCTTCAAAACACAGCTTCATATTGTAGCAGTACTTCATAGACCAATTAATTGAGCTGTGGACACCCAGATCATCAAAAATCAAGACTCACACACCACGTTGGAGACATAATTTAAACTACGCATCTTAGTACAAACTTTTCAATGCCCAGATATGCATCTGACACAGGGGAATTTCAGAAAATCCTCATTCTGGTTGGCAAATCACATCTATCTTTATACAGGTACAACAAACTTAACAGCATCTAATATGTCACTGAAGTTAAAACAAACAAACAGAACTCTATTGCCTTCTGTTGATATTGAATTTGGAAGTGAACAACAGAAAACACTTCTATCTGCATCAAAAAGCCATATTAGCCCAAAGAACTTCAGGAGAATAAAAGTCTTAAATTTATAAAATTATAAATTTGGGGATTATCAAGAGTTGTTCACAGCCATACCCTATCCCTCTCTAATTTACATCATTGGCCAAGTACAAAAATTCTTTCCCCACCTCTTAATAATTTCTCTTTAAAGATCAGGTATAGACTGTGGCTGGATTGGATGGACCATTGGTCTGCTCTGGTCTGATGAATTCCATGCAATAATGCTAATTAACCTCTTGGAGAATATCCATACATAAAATCGTTTCATAATTTATACATAGCAAGCATCTAGGCTGTTGTGTTGAATTTAGAATTGAGTTCAAGACAGAGGCTGTTTGAAGCTGGGTTGAAAAAACACCCTCCTCCTCAAAAAAACCCAACAGAAAACAAAAAAGCCCTCAACGGTGCAACTTTGGGACTTGGGAGAGGAGGTGGAAAAAGTATTCATTTTGGAGAGAAAAACAAAACAAAACATAATCTCTCATCTCATCCACACTTAAGCATAACCTCCCACCCCACCCACACTTATAGCCACATTTTCTGGTTAGGAAAGAAACCACAGATCAGCTTTTTTGTTTTTTTTACAGTAACCAAATTTTGCAAACTCTAACTGAACAGGGGAGCATTATTTTAGAAATGTAGCACACTGTGAATCAGAAATTCATTTGGCCGTTTTCCTATCAACAACCAATTACTCTTTTAAAAATACTTGGAAAAAAAGTAAGACACTCATCCCTCTTGGTCTGCCTAGACAGATCTTCTTATCAAATAAGATTGATTACAGTAACAAGAAGTTCTGGATTAATTCAATTTTCCTAAACAAAGGAGAGGTTGTTACAGAAGGGATAACCAATCTGAAGAGGTTTACGCAAACATGGAAGCTCATTTCTTCCCCATCAAAACTGAAACACAAAAATCTTTTATAACACATTCTCATAAGTACTGTTTTAGCTTGGGAACAAAAATCTTCTTTAATCCTGGTTTAGCTTTTAATATTACATCGTACATTAAAATTCATAAAGTAGTTCATTCCAGGCAAAACAAACTACTTTTCAGTTCTGCTCTGCAAATAGCACAGGAGGTACAATAAATGCTGTTGCTTTCAGAACAGCTTTTATCAGGACAAGGTTTACTACTCCATTATTACAGTGGCGCCTGGAAGTGCAGTTATAGTTAAGTGTCAGGGTTTCCATTAACTCTCTTCCATGGTGGCTTTTGCGGGG